CCTGTCTTGCTGTCATTCTTCGTGTCTCTTGTCCCTTCATTCCTTCTCGCTTAGGTCACCGCCCTTGTTGACGTCCTGTGGGTCGGGACACACTTATCTCCAATAAACCACTAGAAAACGGGAAGCGCTGTGGCTCCAGCGGTAGAACGCTTGCTTTGAGCTGAAGAGCTGAGGGACAGCACCCAAGCCCAGAGTTCAAGCCCCACAACTGACCAAAACAAAAAATTTTTAAAGCTTTTTAATGTTTGTATTTGCCTATTCTATCATTGCTTATCTGCTTATAGAACTTAGTACATGAATCCATAAAATTTAAAAAAAAGAAAAAAATCAAACACACAAAACAACTGCCTGTTTCCTTTTCCTGGAGATCAGCTTGATACTATTTTATAAATAAACAGTCTGTGTGTGTGTGTGTGTGCATATGTATGTGTGTGTGTGTTGGTACTAGGGTTTGAACTCAGGGCCTTATGCTCTCCCTTAGCTATTTCTACTCAAGGCTGGTTCCCAAGAACATGAACTCTACTTGTGTCTTTTTGCCTTTCACTAAGTGGGCCCCCTCCTCTACTTTGGGCAATGATGGCAAAGCTCGCTCAAGAGCACTGCACAGTGATCCTGCAGTGTAGAGAGCTATGAGAGGCCGCACCTGGAAGATGGCGCCGGCTTCCGCCCTCTGATGGCGAATGCTCTCTGTGGTAAACAACTCCTTATGTGGATAAGGCAAAGAATCTGGCTTGCTTCCGCGTACCTGAACCTATTGGTGGATCCCACGTGGCGTATCAGGGTTGGCTACCCAGCGGGTACTTAAGGCTGTGGGGAATTCTCCCCAGGGTTGGGGTCAGAAGATTACTCAAAGGTCCTGAATAAACTGCAGAGAGAAGAGTTCGGTGTTGCGTCTTCCTTGCTGGTCGAGGCGGTAGCGACACTGCAGGTCAGCACAGAGCTGCCCTCTGTCTCCTGTTACTAGCCTCTTCTGTCATGTATTGGGCTGTGATCCTTTCAGAGAACCATTTTTTTTTATTTTTGTTGTTAATATAAAGGCTATGTACAGAGGGGTTACAATTATAAAAGTCAGATACTGAGTACGTTTCTTGCTGGAAAACGTTACCGGTGCCCTCTGTACTGGGGCTTGAACTCAGGCCTTTGGCATTGTCCCTCTGCTTTTTCTTTTTCTTTCTTTCTTTCTTTCTTCTTTTTTTTTTTTTTGTTGGTCGTAGAGGCCTGAACTGTCCTTCAGTTCTTCAGCTCAAGGCTAGCGCTCTACCAGTAGAGCCACAGCCCACTTCCAGCTTTTTTCTGATTATGTGGTGCTGAGGAATGGAACCCAGGGCCTCATACATGCAAGGCAAGCACTCTACCACTGAGCCACCTTTCCATCCCCCTTTGCTTTTTCTTTCAAGAGTAGTACTCTAGTAATTATGCCATAGTTCCACTTTTGGTTTTTTGGGGGGGATTAACTAGTGATAAAAGTCTCATGGGCGGCAGGCGCCGGTGGCTCACGCCTGTAATCCTAGCTACTCAGGAGGCTGAGATCTGGGGATCATGGTTCAAAGCTAGCCCGGGCAGGAAAGTCTGTGAGACTCTTTTTTTTTGGGGGGGGGGGTCCGGTTGTGGAGCCCATGAGACTTTTTTTTTTTTGGTCAGTCATGGGGCTTGAACTCTGGGCTTGGGTGCTGTTCCTCAGCTCTTCAGCTCAAGGCTAGCACTCTACCACTTGAGCCACAATGCCACTTCCGGCTTTTTTTCCCTGCTTATGTGGTGCTGAGGAATCAAACCCAGGGCCTCATGCATGTGAGGCAAGCGCTCTACCACTAAGCCACCTTCCCAGCCCTCTGTGAGACTCTTATCTCCAATAAAGCACTAGAAAACTGTAAGTAGCGCTGTGGCTCAAGCAGTAGAGCACTTACCTTGAGCTGAAGAGCGCAGGGATAGAGCCCAAGCCCAGAGTTCAAGCCCCATGACTGACCAAAAAAAAAAAAAGGTCTCATGGGCTTTTCTGCCTGCGTGGAGTGCCAGTCATGATCCTCTGATCTCAGCCTACTGAAATTAGGATTATTGGTGCCTCTTTCTCCCGTAGGCCTTGGTGTGGCCAATCTAGAAAGGTGGACTAATGAGTGTTGTTCCCCTGATATCAGGCCACCAGACTGCACTCACTCCTAAAGCAGGGGCCTTAAGGTCATATGTGGGTACGTTTTGGTGGGCACACTTGGGGGTAGGTGATCCTGGCATGAAGAAGATGGAGGCCTCAAATGGCTTTCCACACACTGCAGTGCCCATGATGAACATTCTAGAGGGTGATCCCACCCCAGTGACCACAGTGTTGAGGGGATACTCTACAACAGGGGATGTAACAAAAGCACATAGATCAATAGCTGGGTGAGACATTACACAAATCCTTGGTGACCAGACTGTATAGGAAGCAAAGTTGGGAATCGTGATGTGGCGGTGCCTCCTGGGTTGTTATTTCCCTTCATTGTGCCTCAGTTTCCAGATGTACAATATGGATTTCCGGATTCCCACTTTGTAGTCTTTATTAGGAAGACTGTGTGAAGTAGTCCTTGTTAGAATCTTCAAAAAGTCAGTTGCCTGTGGCTCCTGACTATAATCCAAATTGTTCAGGAAGCTGAGATCTGAGGATTGTGATTGAAAGCTAGCCCTCACAGAAATGATCTTAGGACTCGAATCTCCAATTAAGCACATAAAAGCTGGAAGTGGAGCTGTAAATCAAGTGGTAGAGTGATAGACTGGAGCAAAAGAGTACCCCTTGTGCTTTAGTGCCTCTGTCACCTGAGTTCAAGCTGTAGCTCTGCCACAAAACAAACCAAAATAAAACCCTGCATAGAACTGCACCAACACATGCCACTTCTTCCTTCACCCAGCCCCATTGCAGGATCTTTTAAGAAAAATAAGTCTCATGAGATTGGCAGAAAGGAAGCAACCTTGGTAGAAATGATGGCTTGTCTCAGCCTGCCCTAAGAGAAGGCTCTATTGAGCATGTAGATTACAACAGGTTAAGTCTCCACTGGACATAAAAATCACCCCAGGATTTGGTCACCCCCTCCCTTGTTTCTTTTTGGTTCCTTGTTGGAGGATTACTCAGGTGGATCATTACATGCAACATTCTGGATGTATTGAAGGACACCCTGGGGGTCACAATTTGTATGAGACCTCACTAGCAATGATATGACCACTAAGTGCCTTTGACTGGGGGTTTTGGATGGCTAAAGCTTGAGAGCTATTGACGCATACTGTAAGTGGAGGCAGAGTGGAATAGCTTAAGGGCCTGCTGGTATCCTGATGTACGTTGTGTCCCGGACATCTGGGTATTCAAATGGTGCACTAATATGGCTGTTGCCTATGAGTAGCTTATGCAGAAAACCTCTTGGACAGTATGGGGTACTGCAGACTGCGACAATTAATAGAATGACATGGGGAGTAGGGCCAGTCCCTGGCACTAATGATGCTTGATCTTTCAGAACCTATTCTGGGAGCCCCCTTAACTATGTGGCCAGACTATCCCAAGATCTACTGAGTATGAAACAGAGCCACCATAGCCTGTCCCAAATGCTTTGAAGGCTGAGAGACATGTTGTCCTATGTTGTCTTATCCTCCCTCTGCTCACTGAGAGCCTTTCTTCCTGGCAGCCTATCCAAAAGATCTTTCCCCTTCCTAGTGACAAAAATCCAACCCAAAGCATTGGTACTTACTGGACACCATGTTGAAAATGAACCATACAACTTGTGTTTGGAATGGAAAAGAAAGCTGTAAAGAATGGGGGAAGGGATGTCATTTCCCCCAAAAGAAATGCACTTTTTTGTTTTTAGGGGGGAGGGTCGGGTTGTGGGGCCTGAACTCTGGTCCTGGGCACTGTCCCTCAGCTCTTAAGCTCAAGGCTAGCACTCTACCACTTCCAGCTTTTTTTTTCTTCTGCTTATGTGGTGCTGAGGAATCAAACCCAGAGCTTCATGCATGCAAGGTAAGTGCTCTACCATTGAGCCACCTTCCTAGCCCAAGAAACGAATTCTTTTTAGGCTACTATGGCTGGGGAAGGTGGGAACTTTCAGTTAGGCCTACATGGAATACTGATGGGCAGGCTTAGGTTGGTTTGCCTTCCTGTACATCAACACGTCCTCTCATACCTGGGTTTTGCCTGGTGTCCATATACATCTGGTTAATAGGGTGGGGTCAGCCCTTCATATTTCATCTTTAGATACATAAGAACATTGGGCCAAGAGGGTAGAGCTAAGTCCTTCATATAGAGTATTTGGATAGATAAAAAGATGGGCTGGAAAAGAGGCCAGAAAAGAGGTCAGACTCTCCTTTGGAAATTCTTTGTCCTGTCCTGTTTGAAGTTTAGAGTGTAAATGGTCTTGTTTGGTGGGTTTTTATAGTGGGATACCCTCTTGATACAGCAGTCTATCTTTTTCAGATAGGGTTCATTATGCATTTCAGGTCAGGCCAGGTATGAGTTTTCCTGAGAACCAGGTTCTTAGGGGAGGGTGGTCAGTGGGCCATGGGAGCAGCATGGAGTTATAAAAAAGCAGATTCCCGTGGGAATCTGCTCTCCCGTGGGAATCTGCTCTCTCTCTCTCTTCCCCCCACGCACACACAAATATATGTATATATATATATATATGTATATATATTGTGCTCTATAAATTATCCCAAGGCTGAGTTAGAACTGTCCCCGGGTTAAAGCTTGAACTGACAAGAAATACTGCACTGGATTCTTTCCCTTTAACTCCACTCAGCCAGGTCAGTGAACCCAACCTAGTCCTGAGGGGTGAGGTCTGCCACACTGAGCCAATCACAAAGGCTGTTTCTGATTGGCTAACTGTAAGAGATTCTTCAGGAACGGCCCAATGAGAAGCGACACTTGTAGGACCCCCCCCCCCCCCCCCCCCCCGCCCTTCCTCCCTGCTGCTGGACGTCCGGGCTGTTTGAACCCGTCCGGGCTGTTTGAACCCGTGGGAGCCAATTTCTTTCAGTTTCTGGTGCCGGGTCGGCGCTGGTCACAGCCTCCCACCGTGGAGCTCCGGGAATCTCGGCGCCCGGGCGCTGTCTGTTCTGTCTTAGCTCTTTCGCTTAAAGCTAGCGCTCTCTAGCACTTGGGCCACAGCGGGGTTCTGACGTTTTGGGGCTTAGACTCTCGCAGACTTACCTCTCCGGTTTCCAGCCTGGTTTCGCGGGTCTTTTGGTGTGCAGTGACTGCGGATCCTAGGCGAGGACAGCGGGATGCACAGCGAGCGGGGAACGGTGAGCGCGCCGCCGCTCTGCAGCCGGGATCCCGTGTGCCGGGGAGCTGGGGGAGGGGCGGGGGAAGGCTGTGGAAGCAGTCACGTGTCTGGAGTTGTGTGTGTGTGTGTGGGGGGGGGGGAATTGTTGGAACCGGAAGTGGCGGGGCGCTGACCGGGGCCTGTTCGGGGCCTGACCATGTCCCAGTAGTGAAGACAGTGGTTCCTCAGCTCCCAGCGGCCTGCAAGCAGGGCTGGAGCGGGGCTTTGTGGCAGTCCTAGGAGTGTTGTCGTATCCATCCTGTCTGATCCAGGACGGCAATGGCGCATCTATGCTGGGAACAACTCCTGATTTATTGATGGAGAGAATGTATCTACTTAGTTATGATTTGTATGTGGGGAGAATGAGCAGGGGGGGTATGGTGTGCTAGACTTCTGGTTTTCCTATGAGACTTTGCAGTCTCAAGGGAAGGAGGATTTGAATCCCACATCCAGTCCCATTCTAAGTGCTGCCAAGATAAATAGGCGGATTTCCACCTGTCTCTCACATTTCCAAACACATTAGAAATGGGGATCTATATGGACATGTGATTGGGGTGTTGGAGGGGAGACCAGTTGTCCTCTCTTACCTGTTACCGTCCTTAGTCATTTTTCTCCATATTTGTGTGTGAGTGAATGAGTATGAGTGTGCGAAAAGGTGTGCAGTTCTGCGAACTGTATTCAGGGCCTGGATACTCTCCCTGAGCTTGAGTCAAGGCTGCTTGCTGCTCTATCACTAGTGTCACAGTTGTCCCTACTACTTTTTAGTATCTAGTTAAAGATAAGAATCTCACTGATGTGGGGGCTGGGAAGGTGGCTCAGTGGTAGAGCGCTTGCCTTGCATGCATGAGGCCCTGGGTTCGATTCCTCAGCACCACATAGGCAAAAAGAAAAAAAAAGCCGGAAGTGGTGCTGTGGCTCAAGTGGTAGAGCGCTAGCCTTGAGCTGAAGAGCTGAGGGACAGTGCCCAGGCCCAGAGTTCAGGCCCCACGACCAGACCCTCCACCACCCCCCCCCAAAAAAAAAAAAAGAATCTCACTGATGTTCCTGCCTAATCTAGTTTCTGCATTGAAATGGGATCTTCGAACCTCATCTCCTGAGCAGCTAGGATTACAAGCCGGTAATCTCCCCCCTAGCAACAGGCTGGATGTTAACTTTTGGTTTTCATGTTTTAAAAACTGTTAATATGAAGGTGATGTACAGAGGGTTTACTATTCCATAAGGCACTAATGTGTACATTTCCTTTTGAACACTGTCACTCTTTCCTTTGCTCTCTCCCAGTTTCCTCCTTCCACTCCTGCCCTGTACAATTCCTTTTCAACATACTGTCTACTGAGTATCACTGCTACATTTGTTTACCTTTGTTTCTCCATTTCTGTACCCTCCCCCTTATCCCCAAAAGACTGCTAAAGGAAAAAGCAAGCCAAAAAGAATCTTGTTTCCATTTCCTGGAATTCATTTTAGTAAATCATATTACATATGATCAGAGTAGGGGTTGATTCCTGTTTTCCTTTGAACCTTGATTCATGTTTAATTGTTCTTTCAACAAGATGTGAACACTTTAAAATTAGTCACAATTTTGTATTCCTTTTAAGATTAGCTGGTAATGTCAATGAGGAGACACAATGTATTAAAAACCAGTACCAACCTGTGTGTTGTCTAGAAATGTGCTTACTCTACCACTGAGCCACCTTCCCAGGCCCTAGAGGTTTTTATTTGTGCTGGGCCTTATGCTTGCACTCAGGCCAAACAGGGCTGTCCTTGAGATTGTTTTTCTTAAGGCTAGCACTCTACTAATTGAGCCCCAGCTCCACTTTTGCTTTTTGGTGGTTAATTGGAGATAAGAAACTTTGGGACTTTCCCAGGCTGACTCTGTGGTGGGATCTTCAAATTTCAGCCTCCTTAACCCGTTAGGATTACAGGCGTGAGCCAACAGACCCCAACTGTAGCTTGAAGATTTAAAAGTAAGAATGTAAATAAATAAATAAATGAAGTTTTGAAAAGCTGGGCACTGTTGGTTCATGACAGTAATCCTGGCTACTCAAGAGCCTGAGATCTGAGGTTCATCATTCAAACCAGCTTTGGGAAGGAAAGTCTGTGAGACTTTTTGCCCATTAACCATCAACAGACTTGGAAGTTGACTTGTGGCTCAAGTGGTAGAGCACTTGCCTTGAGTTAATAAGCTCAGGATCAATATCCAGGGCCTGAGTTTAAGCCCAGTACCTGCACTCAAGTACACACACACACACACAAAATACACACACACGTGTGTGAGTGTATGTGTGTGTGTGTGTGTGTGTGTGTGTGTGTGTGTGTATGAGAAGATGGCTGTCAGTAACAAATTCTGCTGTATAAATGATCCCAAAACAGCTCAGGTCCACCCCAGAGACTAAAGGCTTAATTGATAAGAGATATTTTCCTGGATTCTTTCCCTCTATGTCCATTCAGCCAGTCTGAACCCAGTCTGTTCACTCAGGCCTTGAGGGTGGGGCTGTGGTACAAAGGCTGTTTCTGATTGTAAGAGGGGCTTCATGAACCACCCAATAAGGAGTGTCACTGGTAAAAGATGCATTCTGCTGAGGAAGGTGGGGACTGTTTCATTCTGAAAGTGCCAGTTTTGTTCAGACTCTGCTGCCCAGTTGCTGCTGGGTCACAGCTGGGATGTGTATGTCTTTGTTTGCTTAAAGCTAGTGCTGTCTACCACTTGAGCTACAGATCTGCTTTTGTCATTTTCTCATAGACTTAACTTTGCAGCTGGTTTGTTTTAAGGCTGGTTTGGCAGGTTTTGGTGTCCAGTGAGTGTCAGGATCATTAGCAAGGACATTGGAATGCGCAGGGAGTGGGAAATGATGAGTGGTGAGGATTCTGTGGGGTCCAGGATCAGAAGTAGAAAGGGGAGAGGAGGCTATTGGAATTGAAAGCTGCTTCATATCTGGTGTGGTGTGGGGAAGGAGATATTGGCACTGGAAGTTCCCTGGCGCTTATCTTGGCCTGTTATTATGCCTGACCATGCACCCATCCATTGTCATAGGGGGCTGGAGGGTGGGGGTAGTGGTTTCTCAGGGCTCAGCAGCCTGCAAGAAAAGCTTGTACGAGGCTGACTAGAAAGCAGGCAACCTGGAGTCCTAGGAGAGCTGCCCATCTTATCCTGTCTCCTGTCTGCTCCAGGAGAGGTGAATTCAGCAGAGGCTGCACCACTGGCTGATTGATCCTGGAAAAAGCCTCCCAACTTATTGATGGAGGTTTGTAGGGAAAAGGAACAGTGAGATGTGGCATCCCCAGTCTTCTTTTTCCTAAGAGACTTCCAGCTTTAAGGGAACCAGGATTTAAATCCCATTCTGAGTGCTACCAACATAAATACCTGAATTTCCACTTAGGCTCACATTGTCAGACACATTGGAAATGGGGATCCATGCGCACATGCGATTAGTGTTGGAGAGGAGACCTGCTATCCTCTCTGACATGTTACAACACATCTGTTTTCAAAACTTTTTCACTTTCTTATTTCCCTACTGATTTTTTCTTTAATTTGTATTTTTAAATGTTTTAGAAAACTTTTAAACTCTAACAACATGGTTTTAGAAAATACTCTGCATTTATGCCACCAACAAACAGAACTCCCATTCTTGAGTATACATAGGTAAGCAAGAACAGAACACATTTAGATCAGTGTTAGCAAGGCCTTCTGCTAATACAGCAACTCAGTTGACCTGGTGATAAACCTCAAAGTTGTCAATGACCTTCAGCTAAGTTGTTGTTGTTGTTGTTGTTTTTTGGTCGGTTGTGGAGCTTGAACTCTGGGCTTGGGTGCTGTCCCTCAGCTTTTCAGCTCTAGGCCAGCGCACTACCACTTGAGCCACAGCACCACTTCTGGTTTTCTAGTGGTTTGTTGGAGATAAGAGTCTCACGGACTTTCCTGTCCAGGCTGGCTTTGAACCGCGATCCTCAGATCTCAGCCTCCTGAGTAGCTAGAATTGCAGGTGTGAGCCACAGGCACCCGGCACTCAGCTAAGTTTTTGATAAACTGCAAAGCTGTTATTTAGGTAAACTTGAGTGAGTGGAGAGATGTCCTTTTGCTTTTTGGTAAAAATAAGACACTAAGGCCTATGAAGACATTGAATAAATTCCAGAAATCTGTAACCTTGACCCTTCAGTGAGAGAAAGAATTTCTGAAAAAATTAAGAATCCATATCTTTTTTTTTTTTTTTTTGGTCGGTCGTGGGGCTTGAACTCTGGGCCTGGGCGCTGTCCCTGCGCTTTTCAGCTCAAGGCTAGCACTCTACCACTTGAGCTACAGTGCCACTTCCAGAATCCATATCTTGAAGTGAATAGACTGAAGAAAGATAAAAGGAATTGATTACTATCTGAGTCCCAATAAACTTGGACAGGTTTGTTTTGGGGTATGCTGTTTGTCCATGTGCTCCTGTTAATGGATTTTGGAATTGGGAGAGAACACCGAGACAAAGAGAGAGATGAAGGGGGGTGGGTGGGAAAGGAGAGACTAGTCTCAGTGTGTTTGCCATCTAGCCACTGTCCCAGAGACCCTAGGTTCCTCACATGCACCATTAGAGAAGGCCTTAGTGGGAACAAAGGAGCCTAGACCTGCTCATTCTAGTAGTTGAAGGAGGACAAGGGCTTCTCTCCCAGGCCAGTCCATTTTCCAGTGTCCCTGTGCATCTACAAACTTGGCAAAGCTTAGAGAGGGGCTATGGGTTTGGGCAAGCCCTTGTCCAATGTCTATCTTTGTCCAAACAGAAGCAGGCCCCAGGAGGATCAGGCAGACCCAAGGTTTGTTTTGGGGGTCCTCTGACAGAGTCCAGTGTAATTTGGGGCTTATGGCAGGTTGTAAAAGGTGATGTTTAAGATGTCTCCTAATTTTTTTGTCTCCTCATCCTGATTGTTAAAGACTGAAGACCACATTAAGTAGCATTTGTTGGACCTTTGGGAGCCCTGCTCTAGCTGATGCTGTTTTATGCTGCTATC